ATGTAATTAGAGCATAGAGAATAACAACTAATTATGTTAGCTACTATTATACATTATAGCCTATACTAATAAGATTAATTTGGCAAGAGATGAATAGTTTCTGAAAGTTCAACTTGTCTTTAATTTTGCTGTATTTATTTCTGAAAGGTAAATTCTGACATTAAAATGTTACATCTCATAACTAATGTATAGTATATTTTAAAAGAATATTTATTTGAAACTTATAGCTGTTGGGCCTTGCTCGAGTCTCTCATTTATCATGATCACTGAAAAAAATAAAATAAATAATTAAGAGCTGACATGTTTATTTTTTTTATATTACTTGCTGTTAAAGTTACACTTGGGAGTAATATTTCATCTTTGAATCAAACCATAAATAACAGATGAGACAAATGGAAGCTGTCTTTTAAATGATAAGGCATCTTTATTCTATTCTTATCATATTTTCTTATAAAATATGTAGAGCAATGTCTGGAATGATTAATTACTTCTGATTTAGTGAATGAAAGCATGGCAATTAAGAAGAAAGGACCAGTATTTAATATTTATTTCTACCCTTCTTTTTTTTTTTCTTTTAAAATATACTTTTATTATTGATTTCGGAGAGGAAGAGAGATCTTCCATTCTGTTTTTAGGACTCTGTATAATATTTTTTTATTTCAGACAATGTATTCTTTATTTCTAGTTGATCCCTTTTCATATCCTCATAGGTCTTGTTTATTTTATTGGCCTTTTCTAGGAAATTCTTGAAAAACCTTATAAACGTGGTTTTGAACTCTATATCCAGTTGTTTCTTGTCCTCCATTTCTTTTGTTTGTGATCTGTTTCCTTATCTTGGCATTTTCACAGCTTCCCCGAGTTGGTAGGGTGGCTTTGTGTGCTAAGGTGTCCTATATGGTTCAGTGAGTCAGCCTCCCAGTTACCTGAGGTGGACAGTCTTGGTGTAGCTCTTTGTGGGCTGTGTGTGCAATCTTGTTGTTAAGCCTTGCTTGCTGTTAGTATCATTGAGAAGTGTTGAGTCCTCTTTGGAATAACAAAAGTTATCTTGCATGTAACCCAGTGCTTTGCACATTGAGTGCTAATAAATGCTAATTGACGATGGCAGTGATAAAGTAATAAATATTCTAATTTTAAAAATGCCCTTATTCTTGAAAACTTTAAATAGTAAGCCCTTTTGTATTTTCTAAGGAGAGGCTACTTGGTCAAAATTTATAATTTGGTGGAAAGAGGGAGGGTGGATGAAGACAGAGTCTGCAGAGCTTCTTCCTTGAGCTGAGGCCCAGTGCATGGATTTCTGCACATTGAAAGGAAATTAATCAGAAAGTGGCCGGCGGAGTGGCACTGAGGCTCGAGGGGCATCTGTGGAGTGAGCGGGGTTCCTCCAGCAGGTGGGGTCCCTCAACCTGGCCTGTGGGCATCGGGCTGAAACTGGCAGTCCTACATCCACTGAGAGGCCTGGAGTGTGAGAGGGCACTATATATACATATACATACACACACACACACACACACACACACACACACACACACACACACACATATATATATATATATATATATATATATATTGGTGCATTATATATATATATATTTTAGAGGCCTGGTGCACAAAATTTGTGCAATGGTGTGTGTGTGTGTGTGTGTGTGTGTGTGTGTGTATCCCTCAGCCCAGCCTGCATCCTCTCCAATTTAAGACCCCTCAGGAGATGATGTCTGTCTGCGATTTAAGCCCGATCTCTGTGGGATCGGGCCTAAACCGGCAGTCAGACATCCCTCTCACAATCTGGGACTGCTGGTTCTTAACTACTTGCCTGCCTGCAAGCCTGATAAATGCCTAACTGCTCCACTATCAGCCTGATTGCCCCAACTGCCCTCCCCTGCTGGCCTGGTTGCCTCTAACTGCCCTCTCTGCTGCTCTGATCACCCACAACTACCCTCACCTGCTGGCCATCTTGTGGCAGCCATATTTGACCACATGGGGGTGGCCATCTTGTTCGAGGGCATGAGGTTCAATTTGCATATTACCTCTTTATTATATAGGATAGATATGTTTTTTTGTGAGTGACTTATTTCACTTTGCTTACTATTTTCAAGTTTCATCCAAGTTGTGGCATGCATCAGCACATCATTTCTTCTTGTTATGGTCAAATAAGACTCTAATATATAATTACACTACATTTTATTTATCTGTTCATCATTTGATGGACAACTGATTTTTTCCACTGAGTGCTGATAAATGTTTAACAAATAATCTTTAAAAAATCCTTATTCAAAGCATTTGTTGAATTTCACTATATAAGTACTCACATTATGGCTGATTGCAGACTATCTGATGTCACTGAACATGGAGTTAGAAAGAGATGCTACAATAAACTCTTTTTTTTAATGTATTTTATTGATTTTGTACAGAGAGGAAGAGAGAGGGATAGAGAGCTAGAAACATCCATGCGAGAGAGTCATCGATCAGCTGCCTCTTGCACACCCCCTACTGGGGATATCCCCGCAGCCAAGGTACATGCCCTTGACCTGAATCGAACCCGGGTCCCTTCATTCCCCAAGCCGATGCTCTATCCATTGAGCCAAACCGGTCTCGGCCAACAATTAACTCTTGTAAGTCCCTGCTGATGAATCACTCAAGTTACCAAAGATATGGCCACACCCAGTGAAGATGCCACATACTATTAATTTATAATAATAATAACAATTAAGGTAATACAGTTGGTTCCACTACCAATAGTCTATATTTGGTTCACTATCTTTTGGATAGTCTCCCTGGTCCCTCTTAAATAGTCCAAACTCATTACACTTTAGCACTTGATTCTCTACCTTGTACACTCTTTTCCCAGATATTAACATAGCTCATTCCTTCATTTCCACCAGATCTCTGTTCAGGTGTTCCCTCCTCAGAAATGCCTAACCACCACCTTATTCCTTTATTTAATCCTTTGCCAAGTTTTGTTTTTCTTCATAGCAGTTATCACGGATGCTTTATTACTCTGATTATTTATTTTCTTATTTGTTTGTTGGCTGTCTCCCACCATAATGAAGGCAGAGTCTTCGCTCCCAGTTGCATCCCCAATGCCAAGGCCATGTCCTCAATCATTTTGAACAAGTGCCCCTGCCCCTCTCCCCTCTCTGCTCCTCCTGCTGCTGCCAGAGGGGTGCTGCCCCTGGCCTTGCAGCTCTATTACTGGCCCAAACCCTAGCACAGAGAGGGCTCATTGGACACAGGTGGGAGACAGTCCAGTGATGTGGCTGAAGCCAAACTAAATGTATCATATCCCAGCTCTGGCACCAACCGTATTTTAGGTAAGAGACCCAATTTCTCAGAGTATCCCCATCATTAAAATGGGAAAATAAGAGTCTCCACCTCACAAGTCTGTTGTAAGGATTAAACTAATATGTTAATTTAAAGTAATCAACACATAGGAAGTGTTCAATATACCTTGTCTGAGGACCTTTTCCAGGAGTAAGCTTGTTCACTGCATAAGTCACCGCTGTGCACCTGCCACACAGAGTCCATAGCAATTGCTACCTTCGCAGCTCTCTCCTATGAGCCTTCCTTCTAACATCTTGTGTGACCACTTCTAGATAATACTGCTCTCCCAGGGAACTGGATGGTTCTCCAAACTGATTTTTGTTTCTCACAAAAGAGGACACTTTTGGGCTTCAAGAAAGTGTTATCTGCCTGCTTCTTTTAACTGGCAAATTACGTATGCTTAACCACTAGGTTTAGAAAAGGCCCAAGGGAAACCGGATGTCATTCTCAGCCCTCCTAGCTGAGACTAGCAGATCCGGAGCATCCCTAGCATAAGAGAAAGAAAAGCCTCCCGCCTCCCACAGAGGAGAAGTCTTACCCACAAGCCCTAAGACACTGGGAGTAAAGGCTTAGGCATCCTTAGCAGACTGGAGAAAGAAGGCAAGTCATTCATGAAAAGAAGAGAAACCATCCTGTGTGCAGGATTGGCGCGAAGGAAGCCCCGAGGCCCTCAAGTCCACTTTGCTATATGCTTCTCGTAGGCAGGGTCCCTAACCCAAGTAACCGTGTTTTACACCCTCATTCCATGTACCACCTTCCCCGCCTCCAATCCCAGGCCCAATAATTTGAATCAAGTCATGAATTGCTCAGATAAGGGAACATCATTGACTAAGTTTGGTTAAATCCAGGTCCATTGATATTTACCGAATTCCCACAAGGAGCTGGGCAGTGTTAACTGGCGGCCCCAGGAATCCTAGGAACCAACAGTCCACCGTCACATGCCAGAAAAATAGCCCTGCCTGTCTCTGAGCATCCTCACTGTCCTCGGAGTCAGCTTCTGGGTCTGGTTCCTGCAACACATCAGCGCCTCCTTGTACTGGGGGCTTCCCCTGGGCCCCATGGAGCCTCCTTGAAACGCAGGAGCCTCCTTGAAACGGGTTTAGAGGGCAGGGAATAGGAAGAGTTGGGGAGGCAAAGTAAGCAGAAAGGGGAAGAAACAAGGTGCGTTTCTCCCTCAAGTCGTGTTCCAATCAGGAGTCCGCTGAGTTCCCAGGCGCCAGAGACACTCCAGATCGTCTGGCATCCCCGCAGTCGATTTGGGCAGGGTCGGCCCCGCGGCTCCCTCCTCCCCCCTCGCCTCCCTCCGGACTCCTCGCCTCACTCAGGGGCGTGTCCTGTGCTACCTCCCTTTCACAGAGGTCCGCTCATCCGGTTCCAGCGGCGGCGGCAGCCTGAGCCAGGGCAGCGATCCCTCCGGCTCCTCTCCTAGGACCGAAGCGGACAGCTCGCCCGGGGCACCTGTGCGGAGCCGGGGTTGCAGGACGAGAGGTGGGATTGGTGCCAGCCACTCTCTGAGCCCGGAGCAGGGCCACCCCCAGCCCCTTAGCAAACACCGCTCTGCAGAAGCTCCGCCCAGAGCTGGGACTGCCGGTGGGGCAGACACGTGGAGGACCAGCCAGAGGGCTGAGGAAGGTAAACATTGGGTCCAAGTGTAAGAGGCGATGAAAGCCATGGCCGGGACCATGGCAGCTCCCTCCCTGGACTTCGGGGACGTGGAAACTTTCCTGGACAGGCACCCAGAGTTGCTGGAAGATTACTTGATGCGGAAGGGGAAGCAGGAGCTGGTGGACAAGTGGCTGCAGAAGCACAGCCAGGGTCAGGGGGCTTTAGGCCCGAGGCCTGGCCTGGCCGGCCCCGAAGGCATGGCTCCCGGCGGTGGCAGAGGCAGCAGCAGCAGCAGCGTTGGTGGTGGCACTGGACCAAGTGGCTCTGGCAGCAGCCAGCCCCCTCCGGGTGGTGGGGACTGTGGAGGGGCTCCCCTGAGTCCCAGTTGGGCCAGTGGCGGCCTGGGGGATGGGAACCTGCAGCGGAAAGCTTCTCAGAAGGAGTTAAGGAAGAGTTTTGCCCGCTCCAAAGCCATCCACGTGAACAGGACCTACGATGAACAGGTGACCTCGCGGGCCCAGGAGCCCCTGAGCAGCGTGCGGCGGAGGGCGCTGCTCCGCAAGGCCAGCTCCCTGCCTCCCACCACAGCCCACATCCTCAGCGCCCTGCTGGAGTCCAGAGTGAACCTGCCTCAGTATCCCCCTACGGCCATGGACTACAAGTGCCACCTCAAAAAGCACAACGAGCGCCAGTTCTTTCTGGAACTGGTCAAGGATATCTCCAATGACCTTGACCTTACGAGCCTGAGCTACAAGATCCTCATCTTCGTCTGCCTCATGGTGGATGCTGACCGCTGCTCTCTTTTCCTGGTGGAAAGGGTGGCTGCCGGCAAGAAGAGCTTGGTCTCCAAGTTGTTCGATGTGCACGCGGGAACCCCACTGCTGCCCTGCAGCAGCACAGAGAACTCAAACGAGGTGCAGGTCCCCTGGGGCAAAGGCATCATTGGCTATGTCGGGGAGCATGGAGAAACCGTCAACATCCCTGATGCCTACCAGGTAGGACTTTGCATTGACCCCTTCCAGAGCCCCACTGGCCTGGGAGGCAAGCCTTCAGTTACCCAGTGGCATCCATAAACCCATTAATTTATACTCTTTATGAGTCCTGCTACTTAAATTCCTTCTGAGTTTAGACTGCTTAGAGTGTTTCTACACCATTCTGATGTCATGGTCTTTCTCTAACACGCAGTGGTTTGTGGAAAATTCCCACGGAACAAGGGTTACCTTTTGCATCCGATGATAGCATGTGTTCTCAGACAAGATACTTTGTCTTTAAGAATATCATGGTTTTAGAATGTATTTGCGGGGGGCCAGAGAAAGATGTCTACTCTGGAATTCCAGTGTTGGTCTAAAGAAAATGGGCATGTTGGTGTCTCTGATGTCTTTTTGGGATCATAATGCATTTCATTCTCATTTGTGGTTGGAAAGAGAACAAAGTGCTGAACTACTTTCCTATCTTCTTCTTTAGTTTATAGTTGCATGAGGTCCAGCCTAGTGGAGAAGAGGAGAGGGAAGGTCAGGGGAAGAATGGTCCTCTGACACATTTCAGTCCATTTAGCATCTATTTAAACTGTGTTTTGTTGTTGTTGTTGAGTTTACAGAGGTTGGAAAAGTAGAGGGATGATTTATCTATAGGCTGGAAGGCAGCATTACCTGCAATCAGTTCTTATTAAATTATTATATGTGTACATATCTTACCATTGCCCCCGGCCCTCACCCCGCAATCAGTTTTTGATGGGATTGAGCAGTAGGTTTTTAGTTTGTAAAACAAAAATTTGATAATTTTCTAGCAACTCCAAAGGCAATGAGCAGGGTAAACATGCTAGTTTCAAGTGGAAAAGGAAACTGGGCATGCTGTCATCTGGTATTTCTAAGCCTTTCATTTTCACAGTGATTTGAACTGGATATTATCCTGGATCTGAAAGCCAATCAGTTCTAATTTCTTCAGTCTCTGTTACTGAACACGGTGAAACTGGATGCCACTTTCTGAGATTCGTCAGGGTTCATAAGAATTGAGCGCTTCTTCCAGTTGTCTAAAGGAGCTACATGTTTTTCTAGAGTTTGGTTGTTATTGATCAGAACAGCAAAAGTGGTGGGAAGGGGATTGAAGGTAAACTTATATTTCATCTGAAAGTCGACAATTTTACGTAGAAAATTGACTAGCTTATATTAAACCAAGTTTCATTTTTTGTGTGTGTGTGTGTGAGGTGTCACTATTACACTTGAATGTTAAGGGATGCCTGTCAGAATACCATTTTTGTTAATCTTTTTGTACTGATTAGGTACATTATTCATTATATACCTCTTGAAGTCAAGTAATCAATGAGTACTCTTTACGAAGTGTCTCTTTTCCTACAATCCCAGAAAACCATGAGAAGAAATAAAAACATTTAATAACTCATATGTTGAGGATTCTGTAAAAAGTTGAACAATCATAAACTCATAAAATCTTTTTTCCACAGTCTTATTGTGTGCTTGGGGGGGGGGGAAAAAATCCCTTCCTAGTCAGATGACACTTGTTATAGTGTTACAGCATGGAATTGCAGTCTTCTTTTTCTTACCTTTGCTTTTCTCATTCTTCACCAATTGATTTTCTCCCATTTATATAGCTTTTGTTTCTTATTCCCCTCCTTCAGCTCCTAACTTTTATTTAATACTGTTCATATAGTGTCTTTTCTTTAAGAGCATAATTCTCAGCTTCCTCAGCAGTTAACTTGTCTTCCTGCTGACTAGAACTGTGGCTCGAGGTGCTATCAGCGGCATAGAAAATCAGATTTTCACAGCTGATGCTTCTTCTGGGCCCTATTCTTACTTTGAAGACAGAGTGTAAAGCAAAGTTGCTTTTTAATATTTGAAAGCTGACATTGGGCGAGGAGAGGTTTTGTTTTTGTTTTCCCCCAGGGTAGTAATGATGGTTGTAAGGCTGGGTTGTTGGGAGGACTGGCAATGGCAGGGAGGAGAAGAGTGTTCTATGGGTTTGGTTTACTATCTTAGTTCACTGCTTGTATTCCTTTCAATCTGCTTAGAAAGTTTACCACCCCCACCTCCAATGGTCTCCTTTAAATGTTTTTAACATGGTGTGTTTTATATTTCACTTAACCCTACTCTTTGATGAAATGACTTTTTTTCTTTATTATGGCACATCACAAAAACCAATAGTGTGACCTTGGGAGAATTTTTTTTTATCTGAGTCTCAGTTTCTTCATCTGCAAAATAGAAATGACACTTACATGGCAAAGATGATTGTTTTGAAAATAAAATGAATCCTGGCTGGGTGGCTGAGTTGGTTGGAGCATTGTCCAGTACACCAAAAGGTTGCAGGTTTGATTCCTGGTCAGGGCATATGCCTAAATTTTGGGTTCAATCCCTTGTTGGAGCATGTAAGGGAGGCAATCGGATGTTCGCTCTCTCACATCATCTAAAATCAATAAACAAGACAGACTGACCTACCTCGATGTGGGGGTGGGAGGATGGAAAGAAATAAACCAAAGACCTTATATACTTATATGCATAGCCCATGGGCACAGGCAATAGGGTGGTGAAGACATGAGGGGGCATGGGTAGGGGCTAGAAGGAAGGGAGGAAGTGGGAAAGAATGGGAGAGATCTGTAATACTATCCATAATAATAATAAAAAAACCCCTATATTATAAAATCAATAACATAGCCTTGGGTTAGGATACTAGTAAAAAAAGAAATAAAATAAAAATAAGATATTACATTAAATTCCCTAAAACATTATCTGCACACTGCAATTATTCAGGAAATAGTAACATAAAATGATGACTATGATGATATCTAGTTTAGTAGTATTCTTTTTCTTTCTGTTTATCTCATTTTCAAGTGTTTTCCCATCTCCTCCCACCCTTCTCCCTTATTTGGGACTGAGGTGTGAATTGAGCACATTTTGTCCAGCCTAATCTTCCTCTGAGCTATGCTCCCCACTTAAATTAAGTATTTTAGAACCAGGTTTACATTCAAGGAATAGAAAAATATCTATCCTTCCATCCTCTACTTGAAATTTCTCCGAACATGATTGATAACACTTGACCGTAATCTATCCCTACACTTTGTTCCCCTTAGTAAGATGATAAACTTTTATAGAGTTATATTGATGTTGCATCCTTCCCACGTTTTGATATTTTCCCCCATACATTTTGTGTTGTTATAGATTTTTCTTAATGAAACTGGCAACCTTCCAAATGCATGCTCTTTTATCATGATGTTATTGTAATTCTAATCATATATTGTAAACATCTTGAAGTTTCTATATAAAAATATAACCATCTTCCATGATTCTCTAACTACTATATTTAAAGGTCTTTGTTCCTCAGATTCAACTAGTGTACTTTTTTTCTTCTTCAGGAGATGCAATTATCACACAGTCTCAAGATTTAATCACTTGATAATTAGGTTAATGATCCTCTTGGAAGTTCAGAATATGGGTGAGAGAAAGGCATTGAAGACACTTATGAGATTATGATAAGTATGGCATTTGTCAAGGATAGATAGTCTAATGAGATACTAAAGTTGAATAAAAGTTTTTTACAGCAAAAATACTCCTTAGTTTATTTCATAATTCTTCATTACATTCCTCAATTAGTCCTAAAAAACAGACTTGAAATTTGATGATAAATAATGAATTATAAGTGGGAAAAAAATTCATTTTAGATATACAGCATAGACCAGAGTGGCTGCAATTTACCATTTTCCCCTGACAGTTTAAGTTATTAAACAGCCCACTTTAATTTAGTAATGAAAAAATTGCCCTCAAGAGGTTGAAAATAAGAGCACTAAAGTAACAGATGTTCTCTTTGAGATTATTCTAAGCATACAGAACATAGCACTTTAAACATTAATAAAAAGTGTGAGATTGTTAGTGTTGATAATAGCAATACAGGTGTTTGATGGGCTTTGGGTTTGAAAAGCAGCCACTCTATTTTGTTAGTGAACTGAGAAGAGGAAAGGGGATGACGCAGAAGGTTATGGGTGTGCCAGGCTTTCAGAAAACCGGATCTATTTTCACAACAGACTATTCATTCATTAGTTCCAACCAACACACAGGGAGTGTCCACTATTCACTTAAGGCTCAGGTTGGAGGCCTATGGGCATACAACAATGAGAGGACATGCTTCTTGCCTTCCACATATGTATGGCCAAGCTGTACTTAATGTCACAAACTAAATGGCATTAGAGTTAGAGAAAAATGTCTTGGCTCATTGTGACTTGGCTCATGATGGAAGCCTTCATGGGGGAGGTGCCATTTGAGCTAGGTAAAGGGTTGGATTTTGTTATCGGAAATGGTCTTGACATCAGGGGCAAGGATCAAGATACAGCAAAATGACTTCAGCAGAGAGATGATAAACAAGCCCCAATTATGTACAGAGGACAGTGAATGGTTTAATTTGGCCTAAGTATTGCATATACTATAGAATTAATATTCAAAAGTAAGGGGAGAGCAAAAGAAGAAGGGACCTTGAATACCTGACCAAAGAGCTTGAACTTCATTAATAGTAGGCCACAGGGAGCCCTTAAAAACATTTGATCATGATCAGAATGATGTTTTGGGTTATCTGGTGGCAGTGGCTGAATGGATTGAACAAGGGAAGCTCAAAGCTGTGAAAATAATTAGGAGTCTATAAGGCGGTCTGGTAGAGCCATGAAGAACAGCCGAACTAAAGCTGGAACAGTGGAAATGGACAGCTGGGGACATGTGGGAGATGTCCAGCAGGTGTGGAATTGGATGAGGACAGAGAGAAGTCAGTGGTGACTCGGAGATTCTGAACCTCAGTGATACGGGGAAGGGTAATGCTGATACAAAAACCAGTAAGAGAAACTGGGTAAATAAAGATTTTAAGTCAAGCTACCCACATAATGTGTGGAACTCAGTGCAAGATGATAAATAAAGCAGCAGCCTGAGTAGAGGTGGAGAAATCAATCTTCCCTTTGTAAGGGTCTGCTGCCCTGCCCACAGCAGAAATGTGGCCCAAAAGTGATTTC